CTTACTAACAGCAGGCAAATCCTCATGTGTTATGTCTAATAGCCAACATGAATATTGGGTCTCTGCGCGGTCTCTGGAACTTATCGACGCTCGCCGACATATTCCGTCTGGAAGCGAGCACAATGAAACTCGCAAAGAGCTCCGGACAAAACTCCGTGCTAGCCTGGAGAGAGACCGCGAATCTTGGTGGTCTCTTCGTGCATCAGAGATGGAAGTGGCCACTGCCCTTGGTAACCATCGTAAGTTATTCCGTCTGCTACGGGAAACGGGCAGCAGGAGACCTGGTTTTAGTGAAACTATATGTGACGAGAGTGGACAGCCTATCCACAATTTGTCAAAACGCTTGGAGCGTTGGGATGAGCATTTTGAGAAGCAATTTAAGCGGCCGGAATTGTTTGATTCCTCACCGGCAAGTGATCGCCCTGCTCCGTGGGCTGTCCATTTGGATCCGCCCTCTCGCTCAGAAGTCGAACGTGAGATCGGACTGTTGAAGTTGAACAAAGCCGCGGGACCAGATGATCTTCATGCAGCCATCTTCAAATTCGGAGGCTCTGCTCTTGTTGATGCTTTACATGAATTACTAGTGAAACTGTGGGAGCAGGAGACTGTCCCAACAGACTGGAGCCGCTCCGTTATTGTTCCCATCTTCAAAGGAGGCTCGCGTTCAGAATGCGGCAACCATAGAGGAATCAGTCTGATCTCCATCGCCTCCAAATTACTCGCCTCTGTCAATCCTTCCCAGACTGACTGGCACTCGTGAAAGCCAGATTTGTGAGCAGCAAGCCGGGTTTCGTCGGAGTCGTGGCTGCATCGACCACATCTCCACCTTGCGTCAGTTGTTGGAGCACCGTTACACATATTGGCGGCCCACCGTAGTCGTGTTCCTCGACATCAATGTGCCTTCGATTCTGTTGATCGACGTGCCCTTTGGAATTGTCTACTCAGGAAAGGTGTGCCCCAGAAATATGTAAATATTATCCGAGCATTATACGCGCGTGGCTCGGGCAGAGTGAGAGCTTACGGCAAGCTGTCGCCACCCTTCAATATCTCCAGCGGTGTGAGACAAGGATGCCCGTTGTCACCTTTCTTCTTCAACTTCGCTATTGATGAAGTCATGGAAATCGCGTTCACAGGACACGACTTAGAAGGTGTGGATCTGCTCCCAGGAGAACGACTTCTTGACTTGGAGTATGCAGACGACATTGCGCTCATCTGTGACAGCTCCCAGACGTGCCAAGCTGCACTTGACAGATCAGCACTGGCTGTCAGCCGCTTCGAGCTTTGCTTTGCACCACCACATTACAAAGCGTTCCTCCAAGATTGGCAGGGATCGCCTCCTGCGCTGACGCTTGGTGGGGCTCAGCTAGAAATCGTTCGGAAATTCAACTACCTTGGAAGTTGTGTCAGCGCCTTTGGGATCGAAGACGTGATCACGAGCCGTATAGCAAAAGCTCGAAGTGCTTTTGCTAATCTTCGCCACCTATGGCAGCGGCACGACATTACTCTCGCCCTGAAGGGTAGAGTGTACAATGCAGCGGTACGTTCGACCCTACTGTACGGTTGCGAATCCTGGCCCCTAAGACCGGTGGACATAAAGAGGCCAGTTACTTTCGATCATCGGTGCCTTCGCAGTTTGGCTCACATCTGGTGGGAACACCGCGTGAGTAACGAGCGTGTTCGACGCCTTGTTTACGGCACAGGAAAAGGAAATGAACTGCTCAGCACCGTCATTTCACGCACCAGGCTCCGATTGCTGGGCCATGTGTTACGCATGCCAGCCCACTGACTTCCACGACGTGCGTTGTTTGCTCACCTGGGGTGTGGATGGAAGGAGGGGTGGCCAAGCGATGACTTGGTCAAGAGGAATGAAGACCCTGACTTTGGAGCTGGCCTCGGTTAGAGCGTCACGGCTGCCTGGTTTGGGTCCAAAAGGCGATGAACACCTTTGGCTGGATACACTTGCTGACAAGGCAAGGAGCCGGCCTCAGTGTCGTTCGTGCTGTGAGTTTCTTTGTTCCTCCCCATCCTTTTTGGCCCCCCACTCCATCTACGATCTCATTTCGTAGCGTAAAACATAATAATTTTTCTTTTTGCCTAGTAGCCGGCTGGTAGCTTACCGGAACGATGCGTATCCCTTGCTGGTAGTTCAGCTGGCATGCAACTGTTGTATTTAGTTTCCTTTTCCTTTATGCATTGCGGCACAGTAGCTGCGGTGTTTCCCACCTTTAGCTGACGTGTATAATGATGATGATGATGATGAGTGGTTCACAAGCTATGTGCCGCGGTATATTAGTGCGGCATGATCGCTTTTGAAAGGTGCCCCAAGGGTTTCTCACAAATGATTATAGCTGAATGGGTCTTGTAACTAAGATAGGAATTATATTTATCTCAGAAGTTACCTAAATTCTAAGTTTAGTACTCCCGCGTATTAATTTGATATTACCCCGTGGCCCAGTTGTATTTGACGTCGAGTCTAACAGGCATTTGTTAAAACCTAGAGAATAGTTAAATAAATCTTAAAATCTTTGCAATTTCGCTACAGCACCTTGAACAAAGTAAGAATTGATTTAATCAATTGATAGGAATGGCAAAGATTTAACAAAACCTGGTACTTCACAAGCAGAAAGTATGCAAAGAAACAAACGGAAGTATAAAGATGAGCACGTCGATCAACAGGGTTCAACGCAATGGGAATAACTGTGCACATTGGGATTGCACGTCGCGATCCTTTCATACAAAGAGTACTTCAAAATGACCATTCAATCAGTCATTAACTCTTTTGCCAAGCGTTGCCCGTCGTGACCCAGTGGCTTGGGGGTAGCGATCATAACTAACATCCAATGGTCCCGGGTTCCATGCCTGCTAACTCTATCTGATGAGATGAATTAACATCGAAACGCACCGTGGAGTGCAGTGTGCTCGGGTGAGCAACACCCAATTTCTATCTACTTCAGCTACGGTCCTAGTGATCGAATCAACAAGGTTCACTTCAATGGGAATTACGGTCTACATTGAGATTACGCGTTGCAACCCATTCACACAACTAATGCTCCAAATGACTCTCCAGTCAGTAACCGTTGTGCCAAATGCTGCTGGTCGTGACCGAGTGGCTAAAGGGTATAGGTTTCGGCTAACATACAAATGGTCCCGGCTTTGATACCTGCTATAACTACCTGAGTTCATGGAACACAGTGTTTCCGGGTTAAGAAACACTATGTTAAAGTTTCAAAACAATACACAGTCAACCTTGAGCATTGCCTCAGAACTAGAAATCAATAAATGTAATTTTCGGCTCATAAAAACGTATGCCGGAAACCACTACCAGTCGTTTCTACTAGTGGTTAATCGTCTCTACTGGCCTGATATTGGCATAAATACCAGTCGGCAACAGAATTTGAATAAGTCGATACCTCATAACAGTTATTTGCAGATGATGCGGCCAAGAGAAGTAGTGACACGGGGGCTGCCACCATTAAAGTGATCTATGAATGAAATCGATCAGGTGATTCTTGGTACTGCAAGTGATTTTTTAGTTTCGCTGACATCCATGCCACCACACAACACAGATCACAGTTGGTAGGGTAATGAAGCACGTAAAAGGTCGGTCGGCATGAGTAGCATATGTTGCAGATAACTACTGGCAGATGTGCCAAGATGGATTTGGCAACCGTGGATTACTATCTACATCATGCGGAAAGTGTGGCCGTCCCAACTTCATTACAACCATCCATAGAGGGAGAGTTAAGGCATTCCTTGCACCAGATATCACGGTTACTGGCCGAATCTATATGTCAGCATCATACTGGTGCGAACAGTGTGGGCGAATTGCTGGGGAGGAAAGGATTTTCAACCATCTGGCCTTGTATTGGTCTGAATCGGCAAGTCCGTGGTTTCGTGCGATTTCGATATTTGCTGATCAGCTAAGGTCAGATTATATATAGTAGTAGTAGTAGTAGTAGTTGTTGTTGTTGTTGTTGTTGTTATTGTAGTGGTAGTAGTAGTAGTAGTAGTTAGTAGGAAAAGATTCAACTTTCACGTCGGAGGATAGTAATGTTAGGTGTTACCCGATCGCATTACTGCACTGCAATGCCGGGTTCGCGCTTATTTAAATTCATCAGTTAGCTGTCAGGACTGCGACTGAAACCCCGGATGCTGGGGTATCATACCAGTGAGTGGTGGACAGCAGGGTATAGCACAGCACTTGACGACTGATTTGGGGAGTTATTGTGCGAACTGATTGCGATTCACGCTGAAGTTATCCTTGGTCTGTCGACCACTGGGACCGTAATGATAAAGCAGATAGATATTGGATGTCACCCACCCGAAAACACTGCGCTCCACGACGCGGTTCGATCTCGTCTAATATCGCCAGGTAGAGATTGCATGCAACGAACCGGCGGCAATTGTTAGTATTAAGCCCCATTAGCTCAAGTGTATCACTGAAACCCGGCATGGTAAGAAGGGGGAAGCAATGTGAGGATACGAGCAAATTTTCCAGAGGGCGCAAATAGTTTATGGACGAGTGCAGTAAAGCGCATCTGAAGATGGGAAATACAATTACGTATAATCCGTTGCTAGAATTAATTAAAGTGTGTTGTAGCTGCTTCGTCGCAGTCAACGCAGCCGTACAGATTCCTGCATCTGGAAAAACACCATACGGCAGTTTCTTTCTGTTTGGACGTCGTTTGCGTACATCCCTGGCCCTCCAAGAGACAAAGGGTATGGCCTCTTGAAGACAACGGCTTATGTCGGGGAGGTGCGACACCGTCGAGTCGCTACCGGACGAACCGGCCGTTCAGCGTTTTATGGGTGCGTGGAAGCTACCTGGCTGGGTGTTAAGTGCGACGGATCATCTTCAACTTGAACAAAACCCTCATACTCATAAAAAGTACCAGTATGTGCAAAACTAGAGTAGAAATAAGGCGATGTAGAAAGAAGATCAGGTTTTGGAAGGAAGGCTGGTAATCATGTAGACGTCTACGACAGAAGAGCAAACCAACCTGTTCATTCCAACGAGTGTATTCATCTTCGAGTTCCCCAACAAGAGCTTCCGCTGAAGCCAGGGTTTCTTTTGCTCGATTCAACTCCACTTTTAGCCGCGCCGCCTCCGCAGTGTGCTGTTCAAACACGTATCTCAGTTGGGCAACTTGTGCATCCACTCCGGCCAAGTCTGTGACCAGTCGGGTTAGGGCTGACTCAGCTTCGGCCAAGGAGATTCGCAGCTGCGCTTGTTCAGCCTCCAGAGGAGCGATGCGTTCCAGCACTACTGCGTACTTTACGTTAGCTCGTACCCAGGTGGCAAGAGGAGCGGCAGCAATCGAAGCACGTCTAGCAATCTGAAAGAGGAATAGAACAACCGTCTTCAATATCAGTGAACGAGTACTTACAGACGTTGTAAATGGCAAAAGCAGACAGATAATGTGTACACCCCTGAGTTATCAAATGAAATATTTCGGTGAATACAGTTGAGGAGATCCAACAAATTATCAAAACACTGTTGCCTCTAGGCTGCATACTGCAAGTATATCATGGGTTGACAGAAGTAGAGATAGAATGAGCTATGCTTGCCCAGTTAGCGTAAAGATATTCTTGACCATTTGTTGTCACGACTTACCTATCGCTGCAACACGAAACAGCGAGCAATGAGTAGGTGGGGTGGTTCTCATTGCTTCCGGCTCTAAACAACTTCGTTGTGATACATGGTTGGACATTTCACGCTCACATCCACAAACACATAACCAAATACAGCACTACTTCTTAATAAGGTGACGAAGTAGAGATAGGAAACAGTAAGAAACTATAAAAATTCAGTGTTAGGCTTTGAAGTAATATGCGAATTAAATCCGAGCCGAAAAGCAAGCTAGGAAAATTACCGGACCTAAGGGCTTACAAGATGAGGTACCAGACCTATGGGGACTGTTTATTTTATAACTATGCTCTAAGAGAACATTTGACTAATATGGCTGATCTCGAAGACCATATCCAAGAAGACGGCGTGAAGTGTGCTGACCAAATCCGTCGATTAGCTTCCTCATGCTCTGCCGCCATAGCACATGTCGATCCCATGGCTATAGCTTAGGAAAGCACCATAGGCGGATATTCGCGAGCAAAAGATGCAAGAAGGAACAGGATCAAACCAAAGTAGGCACTTCAACTGTGAGATACAACCCTAAGCTTTGTTAGAGAGATTATTACCGAATATCAAATGAAGAGAGACATTAGTGTTGCTCAATGGTTGATTTCACCATATATGTGCAGAACGACTAGTTTCTTGAGGTATTCCACATGCAGTGGCCATGTGGTTTATTCATACTGTGACATCAGCTACACCACAGCATTGTGCACGTTACTCATAACAGTTACGCTGGTATCTAGTGTTGCTAATAAATAACTGGGGCTTCGAAAAGCCATACGGGTCTTATCAATGTGTACCGTAGGTGCTACGAGAATTTGCCCACCAGACGTGAAAAGCCATTTAGAGAGGTGAGCTGACAGATCACTAGGCTTCTCCGATTCAGCAGAGGTACATAGAGTTTTCAAACAATTCAAATGGTGTAGCCCTTAGAAGAATACAGGCAAATGCAAATGAAAAGCAGAAAAGATAGTTTGAAGAACCGCGTTTGTTGACATGTCTGCAAACCAGTTTAGGATTGCAGTAAAACCCTGTTGGTGCTCCAATTTGTCCTTGCGGACCAGTCTGACGCAATGGCTTAACTCGGCCATATAAGATCTCCAAATTTCGAGTGGTCTTCAATTGCCAAAATGAATTTCCTCGCTAAGGATCTTAGTCCCTAATGAGCAAGTTGTTAACTTGCCGAACATATTTACATATTCCACCCAATAGAACTTCAGATTGTTCAGCTAAACGATCAGTCTTGGTGAGGTCAGACAAATTACGACACTAGCGTCCTCGATGTTGCCGTTCAAGTGTTCTGCATAACAAACGTAACGGAAAAGCAGTGTTGCATGATCGCTGCGTACCAGAGGGATACTCACTGTTACGTTGTCCATCATAAGTTCCTTATTGGTAAAGACGAAATCGGGAGTGACCGGTCTGATCCCCGTTCTGAATCTGATAGGTGAAGTAACGTGATTATGAAGTAGTAGGCCACCAAGTAGTTCTTATGTTTCGGCCTTAAACTGCTCACGAAGATAGGCCGGAACCTCTGGAGCGTGCAAATTGAAGTCTCCCACAGGAAGAACGTGTCTTTTAGGCAGTAGCTAGATGGCTGTCAATTTATAGGGTGCACATCAGAGGACAGTATAAGAGGACGAATAAACATGCGTCGCTGCGTCTTAGTCGCGAACGGAGCCAAAGCGAGTCAACGACTTGAATCTCTGGCTCTTCAACGATGTGGAAATGTAGGCCCCTGTGATTGTACGACAGTACACCAACTCCAATACTAGATCGATCGCTACGCAGGATGGACGTGTCTGATAGAGCGATCTCGGTATCAGTGATTTCGTCATGCAAGCAGGTGTCAGTTATCATGATCAAGTCCAAACACTTTGAGAATTGACGAGGTTGCCGTCTAGATAAATTAATGAAGATGTTCTGTGCATCGGTATACACACAGAAGAGTGTGCCGAAAGTCGGAAGCACCTCTGAAGGTGTGGGTGTCAGATGCGAGATGAAGTTACCCTTGTGTGGTCGGTATCTAATTGTTTTTTGGGCAACTGCTGGTATTGAACACTGAACCGCTTCATTTTAGCTGATGAAATTCGGATTTTAATAAGTATTGGAAAACATCTGCTTCTTCAGTATGTGGCTGTGCTCCATAATGTTCGTTTTCGAAGTAGGAGTTCCTGGGGTCACTGTTAGACCCCGAATATATATAACTTAGAAACCGTCTATGAACGCAGGCTAGAATGCAACAAACCTTTTTTCATTAAGTGTGACTTCTCTTGTCTGAAAGGTTTGACGTCCAATATCCTACGCTTTGTCTAGCTTCATATCAACTTTCATGCAGCTGAATTGTCCTGTTTGATGCAACATTTTTGTTACAGATCCGAAACCACATAAACCAGGTCCGTGTATCCGCTATCCTCGTGATCGCGCAAAACAGGTTGACCAGTGACAAAGTGGTAGGGTGAAAACCGAAGAGGGTGTATCGTGAAACGCCATGCTCTTTGAACGAATTTACTTTCCGTAAAAGCTGGCCGGAATAAGTTGCAGTTACCAGAAGTTGGCTTTTCACTTTTTGGAAATCGTAACTACATCAGTCGCATAACTTGGGTATTCAACACACTGGCTTCGGTGAGCATCAGTTGTCCAAGTGACTATTCCTCCAATTCTCGATGTTGGTGTCGCATTACGAACCCACCAAAAATTTCAGAAATACCACGATCACAGATTTCGAAGCCATCCACCTTCCATAAATCTGCGTATAAAGATGTTCAACACCGGACCCCAGATGACCGAGAATTAGGGCAGAGTTACCGTGGTCGAACACTGACCCCAGGAACTACATCGGCTCGTCAGTTGCAGGAGAAGTGCAGAGAACAATGCGATCCGTTGTGCTCGCTTTTTGTTGATTTCACCAAGGCATTTGATACGGTGAACCGCGAGGCATTGTCGCTGGTTTTGGGTAAATTTGGTTGCACGCGTAGGTTTGTAAGTTCAATTGAATGTCTGCACAGCGGTATGCGGGCGATTGCGCAGCTGTGTGGAGAGACCTCGGATGACTTTGCAGTGGTCACTGGTGTAAAGTTAGGCTGTGTCTTAGCTCCCGCCCTGTTTAATATTTAACTTCATGCCATGATGTCATCTGCTTTGGATGCCGCTTGTGCTTACGGTGTTGGTGTGGAGAACCGTATTGATGGTGCGTTTTTGAACACCCGCGGTTTCAGTGCCAGAATCTAGTATCTGAGACAGCTATCCAGATGTTGCTGTTTGCTGACGACTGCGTTGTTTTCACACAGGGCGGATGAGTTGCAACACATGACTAGTGTTCTGGCTTCGACAGCGGCTAAATTCGGGCTCACCATCAACACAAGCAAAATTGTCTGTCACTTTCAGCCTTCACCGGAGGTGCAATCTTCAATATTGCCGCGAATCAGCATTGGTGCTGAAGTATTGGAAACCACCTCCCGCTTCTGCTACCTTGGGAGTGTGATATCGACTGATCAGCAGCTACACAGTGAGCTGCGTATCCGCGTGTCGAAGGCAGCTGCGGCATTCGTGAAGCATGAGTACCGAGTGTGGAAAAACCATCAGCTTACCATTTGCACGAAGCTGATGATGTACAAATCCGTGGAGCTGTCCGTTCTTCTATACGGCAGTGAAACGTGCACCAAGTAAGGGCGGGATGTGCGATATCTCGAGCGGTTCCATCAGCAATGTTTGCGACGAGTTTTACGCATCGGCTGGGGCGACAGATTTGTTGACACGGAAGTTTTGCGACAAAGTGGGATTTATGCAGTCGACTGCATACTTTTACTGAGACACCTGAGATGGCTCGGTCATGTGAGCCGTATGGATTCGACGCGGATACCGAAGCAGCTATTATATGGTCAGCTGAGTATTGGGAAGCGGCACGTGGGGAAACCAAAGTTACGTTGCCAGGACATGATCAAACTGAGCCTCTCACGTTCTAATCTTGATTGCATGTCATGGGAATCAAAGACGGTTGATCGGCGTGCATGGCGCGATCTGATCACGAAGGCAGTTGCTGAAGTGCGGTAGAAAGCCCTCATGCATGCAGAGAAGAAGCGGCAAGTGCGGAAGCGGCAAACACCGATGGATTGTACTCCATCGACATCAAGCGCATGGTGCTGTAGAACATGCGGTCGCGAGTGCCTTAGTCAGGCAGGCTTATTGAGCCATGAGCGAGGCCACTCGGGACCACTACCGAAGCGACGACGGGTCCTGCAGAGAACGTAGGCAGAACCGGCGCAGCGTTTGTAGGTACGCTGCATTCGATTTACTAACCGCGTGCTTGCATGCTAAGTCTCTTTATTTCAGGCGGTGGGTTTTCAATTTTGTCCCAACGCTTTTCTTTCTCATATAAAGCTCTACCTGTACTGTCTTCTATAATTTTGCACACGTCGCTTAACCTAATTGTAGTAAACTCCGATAATATTTCGCGTTTGTGGCATTTCCTTAAGACATATTTTCCGAAGCATTGAACCTTTCATGAACTTTTTGCAACCAATTTATTTTATACGCTCATTTAGTGAAGTGTTGTCACAGTATCCGTATGCATTATTCGAGTTATTTTGTTTGATTTTGTCGTTTCAGATGATTTGCTGTTGTTGGATATCCCCGGTGTGGCTGCGCTTGATGTGCATGTTGACAAGCTGCCTACCTGTCTATTACCCACTACCTCGTCCATACTGGCTCCAGGAGACAGTTGGTCGTTGCTGGAGGGGACGGGGTGCACGCTCCTTGTGGCGGTGCTAGGTTGGAAGAGTGGTTCCATGCATTCAGTGTGGAGCGGGCTACAGTCCAGCCACCGCCTTGTGTGCGCTTGATTCACCAAATACATCGTGCTTGTGTTTACCAACCCGCCTTATTCCTTCGGGTTTACAATGGATATAGCGTGTGTGAATTGAGCTGTCGATGGTACAGCGCAAGTCACCGATGGTCACTCTGTAAGCGCAGGCGTCCTGTGACTGGCCACATTGACAGGTGAATCCGGAACCGGATGACGCCTACGACATATATGGTTGGCGGCATCCGGTTTCGGATTTGCCTGTCACTGTGGCAAGCCACAGGACGCCTGCGCCTACAGAGGGACCATGGATGGCTTGCGCTGCACCACCCACAGCTCCAACCACATCCCCCATATACAGTGTAAACCGGAAGGAATAAGACCGGGAGGCATGTGGATGGGAACCACATTTCATCAACGGGGCCGGCCCATACTCCTTCACAGGCAAACACAAGCACGCTGTATTTGGGAATCAAGCGCAAACAAGGCGGTGGCTGGACCGTAGTCCGCTCCACACTGAGTGCATGAAACCACTCTTTGATCCTAACACTGCCACAAGAACCGTGCACCCCGTCCCCTCCAGCAACGACCAACTGTCTCCTGGAGCCAGTATGGACGAGGTAGTGGGTAATAGACAGGTAGGCACCTTGTCAACATGCACATCAAGCGCAGCCACACCGGGGATATCAAACAACAGCCAAACACTTGAGAGAGAGAGAGAGAGAGAGAGAGAGAGAGACAAAGAAAATAACTCGATTAATGCATAAGGAAACGGTGACATAAACCTTAAGTTAATGAGCATATGAAATAAGTTGTTTACAAACGAACCCTAGCTAAGTTCACGAGGTGAGAAAGTATACTATACGGAAATGCCACGAACACAAAAACGTTGTGGAAATGGAATACAACTGGCTTAAGCGAGGTGTGCAAGTTAATGGAATAGAGTACAGGTAGACATTTATATAAGAAAGAAAAGCATTAAGGTAAAATTGAGAACCCACCACCTGAAATAGACTTAGCATGCAAGCACGCAGTTAGTAAAAAGAATACAGCGTATCTGCAGACGCTGCGCCGGTTTCGAATACTTCTCTGCAGGACCCGTCGTCGCTTCTGCAATGGTTTCGAGTAGCCTCGCTCATGGCTTACTAGAAACTAGACATTTTTAGGAGAAAGAAAGGCATTAGGACAAAATTGAAAACCCACCGCCTGAAATAAAGAGAGTTAGCATGAAAACACGCGGTTAGTAAATCGAATGCAGCGTACCTACAAACGCTGCGCCGGTTCTGCCTACGTTCTCTGCAGGACCCGTCGTCGCTTCGGTGGTGGTCCCGAGTGGCCTCGCTCATGGCTCACTAAGCCTGCCTGACTAAGGCACTCGCGACCGCATGTTCTACAGCACCATGCGCTTGATGTCGATGGAGTAAAATCCATCGGTGTTTGCCGCTTCCGCACTTGCCGCTTCTTCTCTGCATGCATGAGGGCTTTCTCCCGCACTTCGGCAACTGCCTTCGTGATCAGATCGCGCCATGCACGCCGATCAACCGTCTTCGATTCCCATGACTTGCAGTCAAGATTAGAACGTGAGAGGCTCAGTTTGATCATGTCCCGGTAACGGAGCTTCGGTTTCCCCACATGCCGCTTCCCAATACTCAGCTGACCATATAATAGCTGCTTCGGTATCCGCGTCGAATCCATACGGCTCACATGACCGAGCCATCTCAGGTGTCTCAGTAAAAGTATGCAGTCCACTGCATACATCCCACTTCGGCGCAAAACTTCCGTGTCAACAACTCTGTCGCCCCAGCCGATCCGCAAAACTCGTCGCAAACACTGCTGATGGAACCACTCGAGATATCGCACATCCCGCCCTTACACGGTGCACGTTTCACTGCCGTATAGAAGAACGGACGGCACCATGGATTTGTACACCATCAGCTTCGTGCCAATGGTAAGCTGATGGTTGTTCCACACCCGGTACTCAAGCTTCACGAATGCCGCAGCTGCCTTCGACACGTGGTTACTCAGCTCACTGTGTAGCTGCTGATCAGTCGATATCACACTCCCAAGGTAGCAGAAGCGGGAGGTGGTTTCCAATACTTCAGCACCAATGCTGATTCGCGGCAATATTGAAGATTGCACCTCCGGTGAAGGCTGAAAGTGACAGACAATTTTGCTTGTGTTGATGGTGAGCCCGAATTTAGCCGCTGTCGAAGCCAGAACACTAGTCATGTGCTGCAACTCATCCGCGCTGTGTGCAAACAACGCACAGCCGTCAGGAAACAGCAACAGATATATATATATATATATATATATATATATATATATATATATATATATATATATATCGTTGGCGGCATCCGGTTTCGGATTTGCCTGTCAATGTGGCCAGCCACAGCAGGTCTGCGCCTACAGAGTGACCATGGATGGCTTGCGCTGCACCACCCACAGCTCCAACCCACACCCCATATCCAGTTTAAACCCGAAAGAATAGGACCGGCAGGTAAACAGAAGCACGATGGATATTAACAAATTTCAACGTACCAATGGTGTTTTTCTTTACATGTTTTGTTGCGAAGATAGTTTGCATTAGGGAGCAAGTTGCATATAAGTCAGTTATCAAGTTTTTTAGAGTATTAGGCGGGCGCGACGAAAGGACTCCAAGACACATTTTCCAGACTTAAAGTGTGCCTGCGGCAATTCATACGGAAATCTGATGAAATCAATTCGTCATGATGATACTGGTTGCTACGCGGCCGGCGTGAGCGCGACTATGGTTGGCCGGTGGATATTGCTAGCAAGTTTGAATTTGTTTAGATAAGTGACGTGAGTCAACCCAGAAAAGCACAGCCGTAGGTGGTCATGTGACCCATAAAATTAACCGTGTTCTGTTCCTAGTACACTTCGGTCTAGCAGGTCTCGGTCTTTTGTTTCTTCCCCTGGCTGAGTTGGTGGCGCAAAGAGTAGGGACAACGGCATCGTTACAACAACGTTAAAGGTATGATGAAGTAAAAGGCATGGCGATAATGAACTATCGTATGATATTGTCAAATCTGGCATCGGTATTTTAAACGCAGAACAGCTTCAGAAAAGACCGATTCGAATTTTGGTCGATCACTCTTCTGTTACTGATGACATCATCCACCAATTGGAGACGATCATTCTTCATAAGCGTCCAGTAACCGTTCGTCAATTGGCCTAACATGTCAAGCTCAATGTGGATATGTGTAAATATCATCCATAGTCGTTTGAACATGCGGAAGTGATCATGCCGAAGTCTTCCTCGGCTGCTCACCCGTCTACAGAAGCAAGGAAGCGCCACAAGTTCTCAGGATCTTTTGATCGTGTCAGAAAAACCAGTGAATGTTTTAGGAAGCTAATTACAGCAGATAAAACATGTGTAGCCACTATTATACAGTAACCGAAGCTCAGTCAGAACAACAGACGCAAGTTTTTTGGTTCACCAACACCAAAGGAGACACGTGTCCAACCTTCAGCCAACAAGGTTATGCTCATACCAGCATGGACTGGTAATGGCGGATTTCCTCCCGAAAGGTGTTAGTGTTACCGTAACATGCTACGCTTCACTGCTACATCAATTAGGGATGGTTATCAAGAAAGAGAAGCGTGGCATACTTACCAGAGCTGTCCTGCTCCTCCATGACAATATTGCTGCTCACAAGGCAAGCCTTGCACCATTCGACTCTCACCTATTGCTAAATATGAAATCGTTTCTAAATGGGAAACATTTTTCTGGTGATTAGACTCTGACTTATGAGTTCAGTTTATAGTATTTGGTCCGATCTGCGGACTTTTATAAGCGTAGTCTCTTCAGCTGCATACAACGACGGTGGATATGTTTAAGTCTGAATGGTAGCTTCTTGGAGAAGGAGGAATATCAGGGAAAATCTTTATTCCAATCATTCCATTCAGGAATCAGAAGCGACGATGACAAGTGACACAGATAAACTGGACGCCAATGGACAACCAGAGAAATACCACCTGTACTGACTTGGATACAAAGTTAGAAGATCCGATTCTGTCTGAAATGTAGACGAATTCAATGCCACCTCAGCCTTGGTAAGTAGCAAGGCAGTGTACATTGCTCATTCGGGTTACGCTGGCAGGAATCAAACCGAAGACGATCGGCCTCATCTGTCATAAAAGGTTGGATTTTATGAGGTACGTATTCCAGGATACATTACGGGATGAAACATGTTCTGAGAAACCATGACTATGGTGAAATCGTTAAGAGAGTGCAGACCGATGCTGGAGAGCCCCACGCAATTTCCCGTTAGGTGTGTAGATGATCCCGTCGAAACATAGAGTGTGTGGATCGTAAAAGTGCGAATTGATGCTAACAGTAACGAAATGCCTTCCTGGTACATCGATCAGACCCCCGAAATGTTAGCCTTCAGAAATTCTGTCTGTTAGATTACGTTGTGTGTTGGCTTCGGATGACAAGAAGCAACGCTTTCCGCGTGCAAGGATCTGAGCTCATTTACCAGGTGAGCTAATTTACTATTCCAGTGATACAATATATAAGCAATAAAACCTAACGGCATCAGTCAAGATCATGTGTCATTGGGTGCTCTTCCAAACCCAAACAAACAATTCACCATACTATTGGTGGAAAAGGAAATTAACTGAACTTACTTTGGGATCAAATGAATCTTGGTTTTTCGACAACAGTTTCTCAACACTGACACGAAGCTCTGGAGTAATTCTGTGTGCATCAAAGGTGAGAATTTCTTCTTGAACTCCTCTCTTAGCCAGAAAGCTTCGCATACTCACCCAGGACGTATCTCGTATGCCCATCAACAAGAGCACACCCTCAAGTATATCTCGAATAACGTCTGGTGGAGCGCGCAGTGCTCTCATTTCAGACAGTGCTTCTGGTCTGATGCTCCCGACCGCGGCTCGAGCTTGTTCTATCAAAGGTCCGATTTCAGCTAGTTCAGCGTCGATAGCGGCCTTACGACGCTCCAAGTTTTTCGACTCGGTTGTGGCACGATTGCGAAGTGCTTCCATTTCTGTGCGTTGTTCAGCGGCTCCCTGCGGAGATAATCAAGAAGCTGTAGGAGATGAGGCAGGTAAAGTTCGCACTAAACTGTACTATTCGAGCGACGGCGTCTGAAACCCCGCAACCGAAATTCAATGATGGCTCACACGAAGAGAACAAATTCACCTACACATGTGGCAATATATCGTGCGGACGTACTGGCTGGGGTTTGTAACGGACACATCACTATAAAAGCGCACTTAGGACACCAATATGTTGCCCGTACAAACAATATAAATGAGTAAATGGATCTTGTACTCGGTGACAGTTCAAGACTGTTCCCGCATATGGACAGTTCAATAGATTGGTCAACAATACTGTTTCTGTAGCGGAGTACTGCGTTGCGCTGAAAATTCTTCTGAATCATACCTTCGTCCCACAATTGGGGCAGTACTTCTCACTTTATTCTATGATGTTACTACTTGGTTATGAGAACTACTCATACGCCAAACCCATGTCCTTAACTAACTTCACATGTCATGATCACCCTAACTTACGCCCTGCTCAAACAATTGTTCCCGCGTTCATCCGCTCTACCCCTCACATGATATCTGACTTCACGCCGTCCTATGCCGATTGTAACAGATACCTCATGCACTCGTTCTGATGTAGCCACCTCCATGGTATTGTCACATTAACACATAATCATAGCCTACTATTTTGTATGCGTGTGTATCATACTTACCTTTCACCTTTTCCATCTTTTTATTGGACCGTCTATGATCCATCACCGTGACTTGGCTAATTGCTTCAATCATGTGCTGGGTGCTCACATGTTCGATAGATGACCCAGACATATTTTAATTGCATCATATTCACCGTAACCATCCTACGGGACGTGTCAAGCACTTGCTTTTATCCCGTGATAAATCATTGTTCATTGTTCAACAGTGGTTTTTTGAACAATCTTTTCAACAGCCCCATTCTTTCTTCTCACGTAGGTAATTTGTATCCCGTTATGGAGGCTGATATACCTGGATCCTGAACAACTAAATTTATACCATCTTTCTAACTGCATATTTTGTAGTAGACATTGAGAACCAAACTTGTTCTGATTTCGGGACCCTTGGCTACGAGTTAATCAACGTTCGACCGGTAAACATTACAATATTTGACTGACTGACCAAGTGTGAACCCATCAGCATACACGTTGCGGCAACTAAGTTAGAACCCATTCTCCCCACTCAACCGTTATAACGAAATCTCAAAAAAATACAGTTGGGTGAAAGCATATAGTAGAAAAGAGTACGAGTGGAATAGGTTCGGTTAGTTTCAAACGTGCAAGAGGCTGTGAAACACCTGAATGGATGTTCTAAGATGGCCGTTATGTATCCGACAAGCAACCTTGGTTCCACAGTGTTTGTCCCACCCAAAATGGCAAAAGAGTGTCCCAGGGAAGCTATTAGTGGTCAACAGAAAGAGTACCATTTGTAATATAAGAAACCCCCATTTGCTATGTTCAGGCATTTAGACAAATACTGGTGCTTTCATCGGGTGGTAGGTTTGCCGACTAAGGGACCTGCAAGTACCAGAGTGAAAGTGCGGATCAGCTGATTCTAAGGCACCCACCCACGTATAGTGTGAATGAGACTCCTGGAACCCGTGGAGTTCGGGATCTTATACAATCGCTCACTACATTATCCCAGTGATACCATAATAGCCGTGTTGTACAAGGCCTCAAAACATTGAACTAATCGACACAGTTGCAGGTCGAATTCGCTATATTGATATAGCCAATAGTACAATAGCATAACTCTAATCATAGCTGTCTCTGCACACAGCAAAACGGTTACTCACCTGCATAGCGGCGCTGATCTGTTCCAGAGCTTTGTCTGCCGCAGACTGCTTCTCAGCCAGTTGTGCTCCCTGTTCTGCGGCGCACATTTTCAACTGATTCACGTGCCTTCTAGCTTCCTTCAGCTTCGTCAAGCCGGCTTGTAACCTGGACGCCTGTGATTCCCCTTTTGACCTGTGAGATTGTTCAATGCGGGTATAGGTAGCACAGAGGGTTAAGTATCGCCGAGGTGCGGCCATGTGAGGATGGGGGGCTGAAGTGTGCATCGCTGTAAGGGCACGACACAAGCTGTCGCCGTGTGCAGACTCACGAATGCTTGGTACAAACAACTTTGGCAAGCTAAGCAGAGTGGAATTCGTCCAGTTGTCCAACCACTGAATGCTGCAATGTTTATACAAAGAGGGGTTAGAACGGACTTGCTCGCTGAACCGCTCTTTATCAACGATATCCAGAATAAGAACGATGTGCAGATTGGCACGAATCCGATTGGCAAGAAATGCGGACAGCGGGCCACGATGCCCAGCCTCTGAAGCCGCCTCACGCAAACTGATTCCCCCACTTCCGGCCGCATTAGACGCCAATGTCTCAAGTTCATCCGGGCCAAATAGACCAGGGGCTTCCCCGCAGGCCAATAGGCTGTTGACTATTTCGAGGAGAGTGTCGGTTATGGAATGCTCTTCGATGACAACCAATGTGGGCTGAGCATCAATGCCAGCGACCTGACAAGCCGTTTTTATATCGGTGAAGAACTGACGTAAATCGGAGTCTCGACTGAAACGCAGATGATGCGTGGTTAACTGGTGCAAATGGGCGACGACTTTTACTGCTGAACGACGTCCAATTCCAGACCGGCCAGCCAACAGAAGAGATCCTGCAGGACGCGTGAGGGCCTGATCAACACGGCAAATGAGGTCCAAAAACTCCGGAAACAGAACGAAGTTAGAAGCGTTTGGGTCTTGCTCCCTGGATAACTGATTTAATGCTCGATCCACCAGTTCCTTTACAGAGGATAGAGCCAGAAAGCCAAGCGGGCATCCATATGGGGATGTACAACAGTTCATCATTGATGGCTTAGTGGCGCCCCAACTTGTGAAGCAACCAGATCCGGTGACGTAAAAGTCACCGGCTGCTTGATTCTCCAATGCTTGATAATCAGACGAAGAGTCGTCGTCGTATTTGTCCAGCTCTCCGGTAGCCATCTTTAATAACAGTTGCGTCTCCTTGCCAACGCCCTGGAGGCCAGCGGCTGGACCACCACTCAAGTTGTTGTAAGCTAGCCCACAGATGACCGTGTCGAACTGTTTGCGAAATTGTTCCCCTGGTAATCGATCTCGTATTAAGCGTCGTGCTTCTTGTCCGAAAGCTGCCCACAAGGCATCAACAGAGTTGTTCAACTCGTATCGCAACAATCCAGTCACCCATGCGGTGAGGATGTGTGGTGTGAAGACGCAATGTGCATGCTCATCTGCGCGAAAAATGTCTTTCACCGCCCCCAGTAGATGCACCATGATAGTGGCCATCGTATTTAGCCGAGCAGGGTTCACTAGAGCAGACTGGTTGGACGTCTTAGTTTGCGAACAAGAAGTTGACCGGGACAATGATGCAGATGGTAAGTCATCTTTGCAGACATGTAACATAGCTGCTGTTTGCAGAAGGCAGCTATATATAGTGATCATTTGTTCAGTATCTGGATACGTTATCACTGCCAGACGAAGTGCTGAGGCAAATCTGCAGGACAATGGGTGGCGTCCGAGACCAGCAGAGGAGGCCACAGGTGTAAAACTGCCGACAAATTGGATACCTTCAGTGCCAACAAATTCCAAACTGACCGGGTCGTAATAGCCGTGATAAGTGAGAAGCTGTCAAATGAAGTGAGTGAAATTAATTAAAACCAAGTAGTAAGTACCCAAGATTTGGCTCAGTGCAAGCACGCTACCATGTAAGTTCGATACAGACGAAGGAATCATGTTCGCTGTTGCGCTCTACATTCGCACCAAAAGCAATGTGATTGAACTCCTTTCTCGCTAGCAGGCGGTACCTGGCGGGAACGTAAGCAATAGTGCCCAAGGAAGCGATAACAAATGAAGAACTTTTGCTATTTCATTGTAAGGCATTTTCTACGCTCACGATAAGCCCGCCATCTAAGTGTCGCAGGCCGTCTTCCCGACCAATAGGATGAGTTCAAACTTATGGTATAAGTAGTTCTTAACAAAAGTCCTAGACAGTAATAGAGGAGTGTGGGACCGAGCAGTATGTTAAGAAATGAGCAACAACCACTGTTTTTCAGCATGATTCCGATCGATAGAAGCTATAATCGTCCAAATGCTGGCAACACACTGGGGCGTCGTCTTTGCTGATCTATGTGTGCCACCTAAGAAGTGACTATGAATTATATCACATTGATGGATACAATAGTTATTGAAGGTATGCGAGTGAAATAGGGTTGGGATTTGAGCTGAAAACCCAATCGCACGGAGTCAAACACACTATAACATCGAGGCTCCGAAAGGCTGATGGTGGTCTCGGTTCACTTTCTACGTTGCCTTAGTGGAAAATGTGCCTCACCATACCTGTTGAAGAAAAGCCGTCAATCTGCAGGATCCCCACTTGTCTGGTTTTGGCAAATTCAAATCTCTCAGATACAGTATTAGACGCTCGCCTTCCTTGGGACGTAAAACTCGACTGGCGGCTGCGTTCGTCGTACTGCTGGTCACTGTGATGCTACACTGGGAAAGCTTTTCCAGCACCTGACTCGGTGAGGTTTGTGCAGAGCAATGGATCATAGCCACCTGAGTGGAACGTGGTGCGGAAGCAAAGCAATACTCCAGCAAGCGGCTGCGAGGGAGAATAAACAAGAAAGACTGTTTTGGGTGACCCACTGAACCGAACCGTAGCTAGGTCGTAATGCGCTAGCATTTCGACAGCTACAACAAGGTGCGCTGAATGTGGCGTGATAAGTTGTTATTGACTATCATACTGTTTAGACTAGCGTTTTAAACTTACCCCTTACCACACCCCTCGGGGCCGACAAGCAAAAACGATTGCCGAGCCTGCGGATCATCCAACCAACATCGAAAAGAGTCAACGGCTCGCCGCACATCAGCTGTCAGAACCAAAGGAGGACACCCACTGGCGAGGCCAGCGGCAGCAGCCTGAGATAAGGCATGATCGGCCAAAATGTCACTGATGGAGTATTCAGCGCTTCCTTTGGCGTGGGGTCCAAGCAAGACCAAGCCAGTACCAGGGTGGTATGGAATGAGTCGACTGGGACAGTTGTGGTCCACCTGTGGTTAGATGCAAAAGGGCAGAATTCAATGCGGTGTGCAACGTAGTCATAGTAGATAGCGCAATGGATTGCGAAATTAGTAGGCCTGAGTGTCACCTCTTTGGAAGCTCGGTAATGGCGTGACAGTGGAGATTTACCGGGTAAATGTGCTACCCATTAGTGGTTCTGTCGAATAGAGGTTTGGAAATTGAAGTGGAGAATAAACGCAGAGATGATCTGCTGTTTCAGTGAACTAGAGCTGAGACTAACTGCGACCATAATGCCAAGTGCATTCTATCTCTGCATATATGCGCAGTAATATTGAGCATCGAAGAAATTTCGCACTTCCTGGGTCAGCTTTGAGGCAGGCTTTAGCCGACCATGGAGTAGCATTTTAGCAATATCGGAGAAATGGGGAGAAACCGCTGGTCCCACATTGCAAATTGGCCTCTTGAAGGAACCAAACCGCTGACTCAGTAGCTCTTAAAGGAAGATGTAACTCACACGGTCCACGGAAGTAAGTTCATAATATGATGTGCTCAATGCAGCCGGGAAAGGCTTTTACCTTCTAACAATGTGCCACAATAAAGAATGCTCTGAAAGCTCACAGATGATGCACATAGGAAGGGAAACTGTTATATTTGTACTTTAACTTCACGCAACATGAATGGTCTTAGGTTAATTCCCTCTTTCACGTTGTGTTTGCAGAAGTAAAGGTGTATACGGCAGAGATTACCCTCAGTAGAATTAATGAAAGAGAGCGAAAAACATAAGAGTGAGGAGCATGTGCCTAATATGTTGAAATTTACCCGCACATCCAATGGCCTAGTTGGATCGGGTGGGCTCTCTCCGGTAGACTGGTACACTTGTAGGGCCAATGCTTCTCGAGAAGAATCGGTCAGGTTCGCACCGAGACCACGGATGAGTCCAACCGTCAACTGAGCAGGTGTTTTTACTCCTACCAGATGCGACAATCCATTGAAAACCGCTGCTGAAGGACTCATTTCGACGACGAAATCGTTCTTGAAATAGAGAAGCGACAGTGAAATGTGAGCAACATGAATGGGCTAGTCAGTAATTTTTATAACATTACTGCAGCATGAAGAAAGTTGTTCAGTAACTGTCCTAGGGATGGGTGTAGGCGAGAAATGAGACACGGGAATCTTAATCAGAAGTTGAGCTTCACACATTTATTTATCGATCTTCGTGGTTCACTGTTATAAGTAACAGTGAACCAGCACGGAGCCAACAGAACCGTAAGAGTCCAATTTTATCCCCACTCGACAAAACAACCTCACTCTTATTCACATTCAAGTTTTATGCTTTGAGAGCTATTTTTACGATTACACTGTGTCGCTAACCTGACATTTGGTCAACGCAGTGAACCCTAAGTCTACGCGGTCTGACCTTAGCGTCTTGCTGTTGACGTTTTCGGGAGGGTTGAGCGAGATTTTCCGTTACGCAGTGCATGATTACCTGTATTCTCAAGTGTCATCGCTGTGAACCAAAATCATAGGTACTCGATGCAATCGGCAAAAAATAAACACCTACTCTTCGGTAAACCCAGTCCAAGCAGAGGTAGAAAGCCGGATCAAGTAGCATGCGCAAGTTTTCACGCTGATCTTCGGGTTGTTGGGCCAACCACGCCTCTACCAGGGCCTTTGGTTCCATGGTATCCTCGCTGATATATACCATACCCATGCGCGATATGGTGGCCGGACTGGCATTGATGAGCTCGTGTGTCTCAAACAAGAAGTTGATATTCGCTCCGAATTGAATTCGCTCTCCATTGGGCAAGGTCAACAGACGGTTGTCATCCAGCACTGAGTTGAGGGATTCCACCCATTCGGGATCAATGTCTCCATCACACACGATCCAACACGGTTGACCTAAACGGAGAAGACGAATAGTAGATGGCCTAATGCTGTTATCATATTTTTTTACCAAGATCACCCTGTTCTAATGCAAGTTCTTATGATGAAGAGGAAGACAGACTATGTCTGTTTCGATAACCGCCAAACAGGTGATTCGGAATTGGTGTAGTGCATTGTAATTGATGCGCTGGTTCTAATTTATCATGCAGTTCTAAGTGAGGAACATGATCTGAACGAGATAAAAGTCACACTGCACCTCTTGGATCTTAAGAGAGCAACCCGCTTCACCCAACCGTTTAAACAGCATCATGGTTATCACGTAACTAGTTTATCAGACACGCAGTGAGTTCCTTCATGACCACATCCAAACCTTAGATGGACCAGATTCATTGAACATGCCGAAAGAAAATAGTGAAATTAGCACTAAGTACAAAACATTTTGGTACCTGGCGTAGAAATATGAAAATGGTCCAATCGGCGGATGCATGCGACTGAGTATACATTATACGATTACAGCCTAGGGTTCGAGCACCGTTCTCTAACGGAACGGTCCAGTTTCTAGAATCTAAAAACATGCGACTTAGTAGTTCGCTGAATTGTTTCGCCTTGTCAAGACGTTTGGGTGGTGCGGTGCAGTTATCTGTGTTTGTTGACTTGGATAACAGTGATCACGGGACTCAAAGATGTCAGAAACAACGAAGTGCTGTGGTCACCTTACGGATAGAGGATCAGGATGCATGGCACGGGTGAGACAGACGCTTTGCGCGCAAGTTGACTTCGCTGATTTGAACTTCCGCGGCCATCGGAGACACCTATGTGTGTATGTGAAAATGGGGCTACGGCCAGCTACTGTTTGAGGTTGGATTGCAGTGCACATTACCCCTCCCCCTCTTCAAAAACGGTATCCCTGTAGATGTCCTATGATTGTAGAGTGGAGTTTATGTACAGTCGTCAGACCGGTCGGCTACTATGCGAGCATTTTCGCAAAGCCATCGTATGGTCACAAAACAATGGAAATAGTGCTTAGCACGAAGAAAAAGGGTTGCGTTACATCCCCCGTTGATTACTCGGGTTTGGTTTGATAAATCAGGTGAAAGATTTGTTGTCAGAGTTGGTTTCGGGCAAACCATAAGCTTGAGTGCTTTATTCGATGCAAAAAGAGGCATGTTATTTCTGTTTTTAGCCCTTCTGGATTCGACTGCTGACTGTGATATGAGGAGGCTCGTTTGCATCAGAACATTTCTGGGGGTCCTGATGCACGAGAATGAGGTTGAGAAAGTGTCACGTCCAAAGGCTTCTAGAGGATAGCCACCGTAGGAACACATATGACATCTGTTAGACGATCATTTTATAGCTGGGCAGTCCATTGGCAGTCCATTTCCGGTGTAGTGCTTGGGGGTGGTATACTAAAGCTATACTGCAGGTGGCTGTGCCAAGTAATTTCAAGCGGCAGCAAAGAGAATCGGCGAACTGTAAGTCCGAATCCTCATCGGCCTCGCACTGTAGGTCCCTTCGGTAATACAGAATTACCCCTCCTTCTTTCGTAAGCCTGTCGTTTCGTATGAGTGATATGCGGCAGCGAGACTGCAGCGTCTGTCATTCCAGTGTGTAACAATGTTTCCGTGACACCGATACTATCGCATGGCTTCGAAATTTGGCGATCCTTCAGTTCGGCCAGCTTATTGAAAAGGTCTTGAGCATTTGTATAAAGGCAAAACGGTTTCTCGGTCCCTAGGAGCTCACAGGGAGCCGAAGGAGTCAAGTGTGGTAGAATACCGACCGGTGCGAGGTCGGCCGTTATTCCTTTGTTTGATTGGATCACGATGACACGTCATTCGCAAGCTGATTTGGCCCAGCTACGTCCCATTCCCTGTCCGGACCTGCTGCAGAATCGCGTGACCAAGCGGTAAAATGATGCTCATGAGTAACCGCTGGTAGGATTGTTTTTTCTGGTAGCCTCATGGCTGGGCTTCACAAAGATTCAGCAGCTTTTGAGCTAAGTTCAGATGGAAGGCCTGTACGATGTCTCCGCCAACGTTCTAACACTTCCGTTGCTGTCTGCTCTGGTTGAACCAGGAGTTTTAGAATTCTTGGTACGCTTCCTCTATAATTGGCCGAGAGAGGTAGGCTTTTGAGCGATCACGCCACAACGTTGTCCAAGGAAAGTGTTTCATGAATGAACCGCCCCTGTTCCAAATCGTGATAGCCGGCCTCATGATTATCGTGGGAAACATGTTCTGGCACGTCATAAATAAAAATGGTGTTTAGATAATCCAGCTTGCTATGTTCATCTGTGATGCCTCCTTTCGATTGTCGCATGCTCCAAGTGATCTCAGGATAGATGTGTACCTTATAAGGCATGTGTTGTAGCGCGGGAGAGCCTATGGTGCGCTGAGGCTGGTGGTGGCTAGATCCTGACAGATGGTCTACCCACTGCTGCTACTGCTGTGCCATAGTCTCATGTCCTGGGCGCCTCCACGTGGCGACCGCTGGGTGGGAGTTAGGTTTCGCCCTTCTCCCTGCTAAGATCCAGGACACCAATCCGCATGAGTCAGCTAACTGACCATGTGCTAGACCCGCTGCCTTTCGGGTGTTCATTTAATCGAAGGCTTTGGCTGAGGACCCGAGTCGTTCTCCTGTCAGGATTGGGCGCCCTAGCAGTATCCTAGTCCATCCTCTCCGGAGGTTAGGAAGTGGTCGATGGCCCACTTCCCGTAAAACCTAGCCATGCGAGACAACAGGTTACGGGTGATATTCTCAATGCTCGAATGGCGTAGAGCACGAGTGCCACGCATTGTCTCTGACGGTGGGAGGACACCTCCGGGTGTTCAATGGTTTGCTACTGCCCGCCTCAAGCCAGGCAGCCCCTGGTCAAATTGGTGCAAACCCGCCAAAAACCCACCTGCGTCTGGCCGTGGTCGCAGGTGCGTATCCAATTACGGTCGCAAAACATATGATAACTGTTCCAGAACCTCAAAGGCTGCGTGTGACGGCCGTCAAGCAGATCCCAATCTGTCTCTGCAATCACATTCCCGAGCTGGATCTGCTCTCCACTGCCTTGTGGGTCAGGCTATTGAGCCAAAGGCTCCGGGCGGAGTCCCCAAAGCAAACCTCCAAACCAACCACTGCCTTGTGGGTCAGGCTATTGAGCCAAAGGCTCCGGGTGGAGTCCCTCAAGCAAACCTCCAAATCACCCACTGCCTTGTGGGTCAGGCTATTGAGCCAAAGACTCCGGGCGGAGTCCCTCAAGCAAACCTCCGAAGCACAACGACCACCTCGCGTGCGATTGCCCACCAATGCAATCGTATGCCTGCGCGCAAAGCACTCAGCATCGGGTGCTGGAACGTGCGCACACTACTGGACCGGAACTTCAGCGAGCGCCCGGAGCGACGCACTTCACTGGTCGCGATGGAGCTGGCGCGCTACCACATCGATATTGCGGCGCTCAGTGAAACTCGGCTCGCTGAGCAAGGTAAGTTACATGAAGCAGGTGCTGGCTACACATTCTACTGAGTAGGCAACGCCACCTCAGCACCACGTGAACATGGGGTCGGATTTGCAATATCCGACTGCCTGAATGGCCAGCTGGTGGGTGAACCAACGGGCATCAGCGCGCGACTGGTGACTGTTCGCCTACGACTCGGAAGAGGTAAGTTTGCTACTTTCATAAGCACGTACGGTCCGACCATGTGTTATCCTGATGACACGCGTGATCAGTTCTACACTGAGCTACCCTCCGTGATACGGTCTGTGCAGAGGAGCGACCGACTATTTCTGCTGGGTGATTTCAACGCGCGCGTTGGACGTGATGCATCAGTGTGGACAGATGTTATCGGTTCGCATGGCATTGGGTCAGCGAATGCGAACGGTGACAGGCTGCTCTCAATGTGTGCCACTCACAGCCTGACGATCACGAACACTCGATTTGTACTGAGTGCGAGTGATATAGCAACTTGGACGCACCCACGGAGTGGTCATGCTCACCTGCTCGACTATGTCATCGTACATCAGCGTGATATGCGTGAAGTGCGCATGACACGTGTACTGCGTGGAGCTGAGTGTGGCACTGATCACAAATTGGTGCGGATTAAACTGTACAAATAGTTTCGTAAATCTATGCACTGCACTCCCGCCGTGAATCGGCGTAAATCTAACATTCTCTCCCTCGGTACTGTGGCGAAACTTATTGAGCTGGAGAAGGCGATGGCTGCACGCCTGTGTGATGTGGACTGCATAGCCACAGTGGGCGACCTGTGGCACCACATTCGCGACCAGGTGACAACTGCTGCCGAGGAGACCATCGGGCGCGCAAACTCTAAGCGGCCTGATTGGTTTGATAACAACAATGCCGCGATTGGCGTATTGGTGTCGGAGAAGAATGCCGCATTTGCTGCACATGTTGCAGACTCGAGTGACTTGAGAAAGGGTAGTCAGTTTCGCAGAATTTGACGGCGACTGAATCGAGAGCTCCGTCGCATGACAAATGCATAATGGACGCAGAAGGCGAAGCAGATGGAATGCTACGCCGAACGCCGCCAACACAAGGAATTCTTTGACTCCTTGAAGGCGGTGTATGGACCGAGATTGGAGCCGCTGAGGACACTGATCGATGGTAGTTCAGGCGCAACCTGCACCCAGACTGCAGACATAATGCAGGTCTGGCGGA